TGTTCGTCGGTAAGATATACATGATAGGAGCTGATAGAATCGATCCGGGAAAAGCTCTGTTGTTTTTCATCCCGCAATTCGGAAATAATGAACTCCTTGAGTATTTCCAAATGTTCGCTGGAAAAGATATGCCAGAGCGCCTTGCCGTCATCAACCATGATATTAACTGTGTCAGAGATGTCGATGTGTAGACGGGTGCTTCCATTCTGGTGGCTAGTCATTGCCGCGTATAGCTTGGGGCCTGCAATAACAGCTCAACAAGGGAAACTATGTAAAAGTATAAACTCACACACCAAGGTCGGGCATGCAAGTATAGTTTGCCGGGAAAAAATTCGTGATATTCAAACGACCATATTCACTGGTGTATTCGCGTACAGGAAGGGCCCTTTGAAAGGCTTGGGCGGGTATGGGCACTTTGAGTTTGAACGACGTGTCGGTGGGATAATCCTAAAGATGTCGAGACTCAGAGTTGGATAACTGCCGTGGTATCCCAGGACATGTGTTACCTTCAACTTCCACACATTGGGCCCAGATGTAGACATTGATTGCAGGAACGAATCTACAATGTCTTCGCGTGTGCCATAAGGCTCTTCACAATCGACCAGAGTACAGCTGTCGGGACCGAAACATGCAGCTAAGTAATCCGAAGACCATTTTCCGTCCGGTCGAACACCGTCCCTACACACGAAGGGCAGGCCCCGAATCCAGAGATAGTCAAAGTCGGAGAGTCCGCATTCCCCTTCAATGATTGGGATGTGTCGGTGATCATTTGCGGCTAGAACCACGGCCTCCAGATAACTAGCTGGGGTCGAGGGGCTGAGGCCGTGGCTAGGGACAGGCATTCCCTGCGTAGCGACCGATTGAAGATCAGCCGCCAGTCTGTGTATATCAACGGGGCTGATTGCTGATACAAGTACGTTCTCCGTGTCGCAGCACTTCTGATGTGAAGGTTGACACGATAAGCAGTAGTGTCGCCCGCATAACTCGCAGATCCAAGATACCAAATCTAACGTCCAGCTGCAAGCATCTATAATGTACCGTAAGCAGTGTAGATACCCAAGTGAGCATATCATTGTTACCACATTCGTCCTTCCAGTACGGTGACCTTGTCGTCGGAATAATATTTTTTCCGTGAGCATCGACGATTTCGACTTGCTTGCGAACAATGGGTAGTAAAGCAGGAGCTAGATATGACTTCAAAAACCGTGAGTGGGAATCCGGCATTCAACTCAGGGCCATCGGAACGCATATGTACACACCTGCAGGAACAGTATAATGTCAACAGTGACACCCGTCTCAAATATATCTCTTTCATATACAAAATCAGGATATTCCGCTCGTAGGGTACCCTCGCATTTAAAGCGAGTGAATCGGCCTCCCTGAAGGTCAAAATCAAATTTGGACTGGGGGAGCTCGTGAACTCGACGGAGATCTATAGGAATTGTATTTTCGTGAACCGAGAAATTCGCATTATCTAAATCTCTTACTGCGAAAACAGCATGTTGTCCTATCACTATCAAGCGAATGACAGATGTAGCATAACGTGAGTTTTGTGTAATTTTCCCCCAGCTTATTTTTGAACGCGACGCAGTCCGTGTCTTGAATGAAAACGCTGAGGTTGGTTTCCCCTTCTGATTCGGTCAAATCAGATAGGTCTGAATTCGAGTCTGGTTGTAGCTGCATGATAAGACGTGTCGACGTCGTCGTATCTATGCGTGCTATATCGTTTTGCAGCTTGCGTCGAAATACAGTGAAACGAAGTCTGCAGTTGCAGCCAAATTCGGGACGGGCGGAGTATAGCGTTGAACACTTTACTTCGGACTCGCGAGATAAAAAGTACCTGTAGGAGCAGAGTCAGTGGAATTTGTGTGCATGTATCTTCGAACTTACACGTACGGTATCTTGCTGTAGCGTCGCCAATAGATCGCAGTTGCTCTTCGCAATGAAGATGGCGTGCGTGTAGCAGCGTGTACTATACACGACGTTGACGAATCACGTGGACGTCGGACTGCAAACTTCCGTCTAGATCTAGAACTGCAACTGCAACTACTAGGCAACTCATGTATATATCTAGAGCTCTAGATCTATATGCATATGAATATATAGGCCTCTTTGCGCGTTCAACGCCTAAGAGGCCTGATATATATAAGCTACCCCCTGCTCCCCCCTTGACCATGTGAGAGCTGCGAAGCTGATCGATATTCACCACTCGCCGATCTGTACATATATATGCATGCGATTCAAACGACTTTCGTGGATATACGTACATTTCAGCTCGCGACCGCCCGATCGTGTCTAATTATCCATGTACACAGCAAGCTGAGTTGATATTGCATCCATCCATATGCATCAAATACATGCACATTGCATGCGTACGTATACGCGCCATACACATTTTCTACATAAGAGCCTTCTATAGAAGGTTTATGTCTCATCCCAATAGCAATTATAAACTTACCCCTCGCCAACATGAGACTCGACGTGCAGCGCTCCAGCGTCAACAGGTCCCCGAGCGTTCAACTCCTACCCTTTGGGCCATCTAGATCGGCCAATTCTCGAGCGGCTTCCGCTGCCGCACGCGCTCACAAGTCTCAGCGGGTTAGGGTGGGTCCTCCTTCCACCTAATATGCGGCTATCCTTTGTCTAACGTCTGATTACCTCTAGAACGCGAGAGGAGTGCAAGGCTTTTTGTTTGCCCAGCACGACCACAGACGCCGCATGCGTAACTTCCCCCTCTGTGCTGGTAACGACGTCGACATCAATAAACTTCCGGAAATCGACGTGAAGAAGGTGTTCCAAGGCCACGGAGGTGCTGCCTACCGTGTACATGACGCCACGGTCTCCCTCGCAAGCTCCCATCGTCATCGCTTCAGGATCTATGGCTACAGCAAAACGACATGTGATGTAAACCAAGCATTGCTACGAATTGCGCCACACCTTCCATGGAGAGGGGAGCTCGCCGTGTTCCGTCTCGGCGAGATCGTGCCATACCTCGCTTCACCTGTGATTTCCAGTGTCATTGTAAACAAAGCCATCAGAATGTACCGCGTTTCCCTACCCCTTTCCCCAACACTAATGAATCTACAGGTTTATGGCCTCAGTGGCTACATCCATTGATTCAAATACGCGCTCTCCGAAGCAGATTCTCGTAAGTCGCTTCCCATTGAGCTATCTCGCTTCGATTAATTACGCTACGGCTATAGGAATAAATGCGAATCATGAATCCAGTTCCGGTTCACTATACGTCGTTAATCAAGTATATGCACTCTTAAGCTCATATATCTATTCCTACGCCTTTCGATAGTCCCACCGTGTATCTCCCTTCCATGCTTGTCTTCCTTAATGTATTGTAAGTTATCCCCGCGCGCGGTGCTTTCTTCCATGCTGAAATTCACCCAGACATGTATGGCCAGCGGGTCCCCCGTACGTACGACACCCATATGCATGCATCTGGCACGTTTAGATCGATCGATATCGTCACGGATCGAGTAGATCTGTCGCGGAGCCGACGTGGCCACGGGCCCGGACGCATTGTAATCTCTCGACTTCGTGTATGTTTCCGATTACCACCGCGAAGGAAGAAAAATTTGTACATCGCCAGGCCTGCAGCTGCGCATGCAGCTCATAATCAGCTCTATAGCAGCTGGCCATGGCCATGGCCATCGGAATGCATATGTCCATGCATGATGGTGCAGCATGCATTAGTCACGTACACAGTCTTTGCTATATATAGGCCTGGTGGCAGCGATATTGTATACCACACACCCCAGCTCCACATCTATAGCTAGCGTCATGACAGACTTGCTACCTATCCTGGTGCACATCCTGCACATCCTACGCCTCTCCTTTTACGCCATTAGGGCCTCCGTGGCTGTCACGATGGCGTTCCTCCTTTGGCTTCTCATAATGCGCCCAGCAAGAGCAACTATGCATGTTTACCGAGGTATTCGTGACGTCTGGAAGAAGCATTATGCTCAGAAGGTGAGATGATTCCGTCTCATTCATTGTCTTAGCTATGCTATCTTACTGAATTCGCTATGCAAAGGATCACCCGCACGCGATTCTCTACAGAATCTGCACCAAGGAAATCCAGCTCGTTCCCCTTCGACCAAGTCGATATCGCCGAAGCGACGCCCTTGGCATGCGCCTCAATGAAATCGACGTAGCACCCTATCTCAGCGGCCCTGCTAATGATGCAAATATCCACCGAAACCGCTTCAATTTTGTCTTCCGTCCTTTCCCATCACTGACAGATATAGGCGCTCTCGTGCCTATCGACCCTTTGGACGAACAAACTCGTCCCTCCATGCATCCCGATGACTACGCAGAGCACGTACCACGCCCGAAGAAAAATATGTTGTTCACTTTTCTCTTTGAGCCTGGGGACGTCGCCTATGGAGTCAACTCCCTTATGATCGATCGTATGAGCATCGAAGCTAATGGATTTCGCGCTTGGACCGGATCGGTTTTGGTCGTCAAGACGCGGGGTCCATTGTCGGACGATCCTACCACCCCCTGGGGCGGCAAGGCGCTTGTAGAAAACGCTGTTGAAACCGACATCCCCTTGGTGGATAATTGTATCTTGAAGTGAGTACGCATATCGTTGAAAGTTGATTTCTAATTAATCACGCACCTAAAAGGCTTTCTGACTTCAGGCCCGAAGTTCAGAACGAAGATGAAGAGACAAACTTTGCCTTTTAGTCACCGTTTTGCTCCATTTTTTGTGCTCTAATTCTGGTTTCATTTGCTGTGGTGCTTTGATGCGCATACCGATTTGATATCAATATCTACTTTGTCATTTATCTATAAGCCGAATAAAATATTTACTTTCAAACTTGGAGCGCAATTAATATTGCAACTTGCGCCTAATAGCATCTATATTTCGCAAGCTAAATAGTCGGACTTTGAACTTTGGGCCGTCACAGACTACGATTGCAAGTCCAATATGCCATGCATCTCGACCTCATTCCCAATTGATTAGCCATTTCTTTCTACTATATATGTCTCCACGCAAAGCTATGAAGTTCTTCGATGATGAGCAAGAAGAATGGCTCAAAACCAAGGTCGACGGCTTCGAGCAATCAATGGGCAAAGAAATCGAGCGCAAACTCTGGTATGCGACACTACGTAAGGAGTGGAGTGATAGGTGGGATCTCAAACCAGAACAGCTCCATGTACATCACAAATGCTCTATAATTTGCCTCGTTAACAGTCCGCTCATGTGGCGCAGATGTTTCCCACCTACTTCAGAAATGCCCTCCTCAAACGCGGCACCTATAAAGTAACAAAGCCCAGGAACCAAACTCGAACTCGTTGCAAGGCGTTTCGCACTAGATCTTCAGCTTCAGCCCTGAAGCTGAAGGACGAGAAACGCGGCTCCTCTCGGGTCACAGAACCTGCCGCCCGCTCTCGTACGCGTCGCTCTGGTGCCCGCACCAGAGCTGAGGTCCGAGAGCTTCATTCACTACTGGCACCCACTTCTCGCCATCAATACAAACGAACTTTATCTTCTCGGGGCGACGAGGGCTTAGCACCTCCTTCGGCTGCCTTGTCGTCCTCTGGTACTCCAAACATTGCCCTCGATGATGAAATGATAGACCAACTTGCCTCAGACGACGAAATGATAGACCAACTTGCCTCAGACGACGAAATGATAGACCAGCTTGCCTCAGACGACAACGGGAACACTCTCTTGACGCAAACTCCATGGTAAGTTACATGCTTTATTCCAGATTTGGGTCTCACATACGCGCCAACAGCGTTCGGCAATACGACATCCAAGATACTTCAACTTCATTGCTAGAAATCGATATGCCTGGCGTCAGCGCTAATGATGTCTCCCTTCTTCTTGACGATGGGCGCCTTGTCGTGCATGGGCGCACCGAGTTCAGGGGTCGTGTTTGGAGCTACCAATGGGAGGGCCACGTCGACTCATCTATTCCTGTATGTTCATGATTCCGGCTTCATAATTAGCCAACCCTCATAGGATTCTTTTCTAGGCCGAACACTTTCAGTGTGGTATGCAGTACGGCAGGCTGGGCATAGCATGGCTAGAATCTTCGCAGCCAGAGGACCAGTTGCCAAACACATCCCACCACTTACTCACTGGCGAAAGTAAGTTTCTCACGTACTCGCCTCAGTCTCTTTCTCATGACTCCGAAGGAAACTGGCCTTGGCAATGAATCCAGCAAGGTTTCCCCCCCATTTTCTTGAATATCGTCACTCCCAGCACAACGCCAGCACACCCGTTGCAAAAGCACACATTACCAGCCTCATTCGTACACAATTACATCTCTGCGCCGGACTTTTGACTTACCACAGCTGCTTGTATCTCACGCCTACTCCCACTGTGTACGGTTCCACAACTTCCTGCTCCCAAGATTCCAATGTATCTGCCGAAATGTACCAATAAAACTCGATGTCACTCTGTGCTTATATAGTAGCGCGTCTCACAATATCGTTGAGATTCACTTATAGGCAAATCTCCAAAGTGCCCAACGCTTCGGAGACTTGCCCTTGGTTCCAAATCTCGATCATACGAAATGGACAGTCCAACGGTATGCATATGTCAGTGTTGGCTCATCATTGATTGAAATTGACGCGAAGGATAGTCTCGGCCTATGTTGCAGACGTGGAAGCGCGAGCAGTAGGATCGCCTCATCAGCTGTTACTAATTAGCACTTAAAATAGACTCACGCGCGACATATTACAGGCGCCCGCTTGGATAACACGTGACCGTATCCCGCCTACACACAAAGGTGATCAAAGAGCCTTTGGCACCACAAAACTCTTTATGATCAAGTATAAATAACCGCTACTACAGGTACTACTTGTATCCTCTCCCCCACACCAACATGGATACTCTGATATGTGCAGGACTTGCGGCAGCGTCCGCCACGTTGTTACCAGGTCGAGACGTAAGTTCACCCAATTGTGCGTCTCCTCAAGCCAATATTAACGGAGAGGTCAATTAGGCATTATTCCCCAGCTTTAAAGCAGCCGTGCACGTGAAACCGGGTGTCGAACCCAACGAACGGCAGTCCCCAAAGCTGGATCGCCAAGATAGCTCTAAATCTGAGGACCAGCTGCCTCCTCTACCTGCCAATGGTCCTGAATCCAGTGAGCACTCGCCTCCCCCATTTGATAGCTTCAACGCCGATGAGAAGTCGCCTCCCCTAGTTAATTCTGAACTCACTCCTCCTGCCGAGCTACCGCCTCTTCCCGATGGCCTTGAGCTTGACCAGCCGTCGCCTCGCCCAGTTGATAGCTCTGGACCTGATGACAAGCCTCCTCCTGCCGAGCTACCACTTATTCCCGATGGCTTTGAGCCTGATCAGCCGTTGCCTCCACCAGTCGATGGCTCTGGATCTGATGATAAGTCTCCTACTGCCGAGCTAGTGCCTCCTCCTGATGGCTTTAAGCCTGATCAGCTGTCGCATCGTCCAGCTGATAGTTCTGGATCTGATGATAAACCCCCTCCTCCTGGAAAGCTACCGCCTCTTCCCGACAGCTTCGAGTCCGATGAGGAGTCACCCTCCGTTGTTGACTCTGAATTCACTCCTGCTTCCGATGACTCTTCGACCTCGCAAGCGACGTTGATCCCCCGTGGCAAGTGCAACATCCCTTCTATCTCCGCTTCGCCCAAACGCACTCCCGATGATATGAAGGCACTGGAGTAGGTGAAGGTTTTGACAATCTGGGTCAATAACTAATGGATGCATAGTGTGCCACTTGACGCCGTCGAAGCGGACACATTCACCGAGGCAGGGCCTGTTTCCCCTAGCCCGAACCTGATCCAAATACCCCTAGATACATATACGCATTTACTAGACCAAATGACGCGCTTCTTCTCTCACCTGCACGTCTCACCGCCCCCCGCCCTACCAGCTGCAGTTGCTCCAGACATCCAACAGGGCTGTTGTCCTCAAGGACCAGACGTACTGCGAGTCGTAGAAAGCTTTGAAGCCTCAAGCAAGGTGTCCGGTCACCATTGATGGACTCCGCTCCGAAGCTTACCTCTTTGATTCTCAGGCCCTACGGGGAGATTTACGGGGGGCAAGGCGCACAATGGCAAATCTGGTAAAGACTTTCTTAGACTCGTCTGACGTTGTTCACATCTGCGAACCAGGCTGAAACTTTGGAACACTCTACACACTCGTTCCTCTTACAGGAGGAACTACACGGGGCAAAACGCATAATAGCCAATCTGGTAAGCACTGTTTGAGATTTGTCTGGTGGTGGTGTTGCTGACATGGCTGAGATCAGGCTGAAACCTCGGAGCGCTGCGCAAACTCAAATGTACGTCCTCATGGCTGTGTCCTTCCATTTCTACCTGTTTGATGAATATATATGTAGGTGACCTCCATCATTACACGGCAGCAGGCCATGGAGATAGACATCGCAACTCTTAAACAAGAGGTAAATTCCACAGCATCCTCCGCGTCGCCCCTGCATATTCCACCCACTCACTACTGTTCATAGACTTCCAGTCTCCATGACCGAAGGACGGCCATCGTCCTCGAGGACAGATTGGATGAGGTGCGCAAACGGAGAGTTTATCATGCATTCTCAATTTGTCTAAATGCGCATCTTTCTCATTAGGTGTCTGATCTGAGGCAGCGTTTAGAAACCCAGGTCAATACACCCCTCGCATCGATAAACAAGGTTGATCCCAAGTCACTCACATCCGTCTGACAGTTTCAAGTAAAAGAGAGGAGTTTTGCTCTCGAAAAGCAGGAGCTTGAAGGACAGGTAGGCTGTTGTTCGCCTTGGAGTTGAATAGCCATCACAAAGGTACTGCGTAGATTGCGCAACTCAACCAGGCCCAGAAGCAGGCCGCCCAGCAGAACGAACAAATGACCCGCGAAGTAGGTGTCCCCCTGTCGGTAACCTACATATGACATAAATCTTGTCAGCTCGAGTATCTTCGACGCGATTATGAAACAGAAGTTCAGAAGGTCGGTTCTCGAGATACTAGACTACAGACGAGCGACTAAGAGATGGATTCAAGCTTGGAATTCGGAACACAGACATCCATGCCGAAGTGAGTTTCTCATTCTGATAGTGATATATATATTCTCATCCTTGCCAGGCCATGCATCGTGTGGAGCTACTCGCCACCGAAAACAAGGCTATTCGGGCTCAGGTTTGTATTTCTTTCAGCCAACGGAATTCGCTAGATTTGACGCATCAATTACGTGTTAGAACTCCGAGATTGCGAGTATTGCAGTTAATCAGGCAAGCAAATCCAACGTATGTTTCCCCCCATATTGATGATAGTGTAGATCGGCGCCCTGCAATGCGAGGGAGCGCGCCTCCAGGAGGAACGATCTTGGGTTGGGGACAAGGTCAGTCGCCACGCGATCGCTCACCGATTCTGTATATCACATATATAATCTAGGTGAGCGAGTTGATCAGTAAATGCGCAGCCTACGAGGTTGAGAACGTGCATCTACATACACAAGTTAGTAACCAAATAATGCATAATGCTGATCATCGTTCACTGACAATTGCAATTAATTGTGTGCGGTTATATATGCAATCTAGGTGAGCGAGTCAATCAGTAAATACGCAGCCTACGAGATGGAGATCGGACGCATACGTACAGAAGTAAGTCAAATAATAATCATGCATGCATATTATCTTTCACTGACAATTGTACCCGTTTACTATAATTTAGGTGAGCGACTCGAGTAGTAAATGCGCAGCCTACGAGGTCCAGAACGCGCGCCTACATACACAAGTAAGTAATCGTATCATAACCATGCATGTACGTGTACGATGCTGATCACGACGTCGTTCTCGTCCATCATCAAGTTCGCTTCCGAAAATCAACGTTTACGAGACGAGGTCAGTCCCAGCGTATCCCATCGCTAGAATAGGGTATTGACCCTTAGTAGCTTTCTCAGCGCATTGGTACAATCAACACAATCCACGGTTGCCTTGCCATTCTGGCATCCTCTGGCCCTGCTGAACGTGACACTCGTTGGTGCCCTCCGCTGTCGTAATCGGCGCGGATCCGATGGCCGAGTCGGAGCGGTGTTTCCAATACCTCAAGAAAATACATCACCAAATAGGAGACTTGGAAAAGGTACATGTCAGTCCATGCGAAGGGCGTAGATGACTGCTCACCTCATACATTGTGATGCAGGCTTGTGCGCAAGATCATCGCGGCCATTTACCATCTAAAGTGTCCCACGCACCAGTAGCGGCTCAGACCGAAGGAATCTTTATAGTTACAAGGGAAGCTGGGACTCAAGCAGGTGGATCCAGCGACGCACCGCCGCGCGTAACCCCTACCACTTTGGATCAAGTGGTTCAAACCGATGAGATCCTCGTAATCTCAAGCGAAGCTGAGGTACAAGCAGGTGGATCTAGCAATGCGCCCCTCCGTGTACCCTCGACCGATCACGGGGTTCAAACCGATGAAATAGTCTCAAGTGAAGCTAAGGCACGAGCTGGCGGGTCCAACAATACACACCAGGTCCAGTCGCCTGAGGGAGTTCAGGCTGAAGTAACCCAAAGTGAAACTGAGACGTATGGGGACCAATCCAGCGACTCGTCAATCCAGTCACCACCGGGCGTCGACGCCTCTCATGACGAGGAGGCTCCTTCCCAAGAAATTCATGTTGTCTCTGGCAAACAAGAATATGGATCCGATGATGCAGCACCCCAGTTACTATCAACATCGTCGGAGGTGAGGGTGCAGGTACTCCAAAGAATGCTTTTACTTCTTCATCATTTAGCTACCCATTTTTGAGGCTCATGGGCCTCCTCATGACTCCGATGGAGCTCAGAATGGGGATCATACCCCCTTGTTGTCACCACCGCAAACACCGGCTTTCAAGGCATTTAATTTCACGCTGTTGACCCCGTCGCCGCACGATAGATCCCTCATAGGACCTTTGTCGCCTATGTCCCCCCTAACAAGCAGTCCTGACGGTTCTCCGGTTAGACGGAATGTACGCGTTAAGCAATTAGCGAGCACTTCAACAAGTTCGCGAAGAACTCAGTCCGGCACACGATCAATTTCTAACGACCAGAACTCTGGACAACTCCCCAAAGCTTCGATGATAATGAGTCCGCGACGGACTCGGTCTAGCATGCGATTGACTTCCAACAACCGGATATGCAACCAGCTTGCCCCCGGTATGT